TATCTCTCTCTCTCTCCCTTTCTCTCTTCTCCGTTCTTCTCTTTCTCATTCTCTTCTCTGCCTCACTTGCTCTCTCTCCCTCTTTGTTTCTCACTCCCCTTTACGTCTCCTCAATCTCTCTCACTCTAACTCTTCCTCTTCATTTTCTATCTCTCTTATCTCATTTAAACCATTACTAGGAGGCTCTTATGAGGCGCATCATAGTCAAGCTTGACCCACAAGTATAATGACATTAAGAATCCCCCTGCGTATTTAGGCTTCGTGCTTAATACCTTTTCAGTTTCTTCCCGCAAATACATACTTGGGGAGATGATGTCGTGAGGCTGCTCAATTCTCTTACCCCCCTCTCTTTTTGCTCATCCTCCATTTTCGATCTCTCTTCTCCCCTTTTTATTACTTTATTAGGATTTGGGTTGTTTGTTGTCGGGATTTAATAAGAAAAGCAATAAAAAAAAAAGCCATGAAAATGTTATGCATCTAAATACCATCCAAACAATTGAAATCTTTTTAAAAGGAAATACTTTTCTTGAAATACATTTCAAAGGCAATAGATTTTTCCAGGAAATATTTTTTCACGGATCTAAACGGCCCTTTAAAGTAAGTAATTGTGTTGTGTACTTTGCATACTAAAAGTTTGTGGTGCTTGATTATGTGTGCCATTTAATTCCACTTTATCTTTTCAGTCACAAAATCTATAAATCCCCACATAGCACATACAATGCAACATACCCTTTCTAGTAACTTTGTTGCGGATCGTCCACCCCAATTGGTGAATTTTCCCACTCATTTGCTTATTAGAGCATGATTTCTGAGTACTTGTCTGTTAACATAAATGAGGGAATTAATATATGGGATGGCTGATACTTTTCCCTCCTTAAATCAAATTGAATAGTATTTTTTTACAAATTTACTTTTCCAAAATAAAGTCTAATAATTCCACTATTAAGGAAATTTGCAAACAAAAAAGGAGGTCTTTTTATTTTAAAATTAAAAAATACCCATCTATAATGCATGTGTTACACTCAAGTACCACTTTTGAGGTGTATAATGTATTTTTATTTAATTTATTTTTTGTAGCTCAAATTTAGTGTGTGTATTTCTTTCGCCATCCCCCACCTGAAATAAAAAAATAACTTTTAAAAACTAAAATTATCAAGATACCCCCAAATCTTGTAGTGATATTTTGGTTATTTTATATTAATAAATTTTTCATAGTTTTTATAAGTGTGCGTTGGGGAGAACTTCAAATGCCCCAAATTTGATCTAAATCCTCTATATAAAAACAATTAAAAAGAAAAAGTGTTTTATGTATCTAGGGACACAATTCTACATTTGCATCTCCAACACATCAAATATCCAGGATTTAAAGTGGTGATTCCTCTAGAAAAAATTTAAATTCAAAGGCCTAAAAAAATTCTTAAAAACATTATCATTTTTAAAATTAAAATGTATTTCTTTATATATTAATTACTCCATATCAGAGATTAATATTCCTCAAAAATTAGATACAAAGATATCTAAAAAATAAATCATAAAAAGGGGGACGCACATTTACATATCTTTTTTTGGGTAAGTCAGTGGGGGAGAAGATCCCCTACCCATTTTTTCACTAATAAATGAGAATAGAAAAATAATTATTGTACAACTCTACAGTAGGGCAGTTGCACCAATTCATGTAATAAAAGAGAAGAAAGAAAATCTAGTGGTTAACGACGCCACACAGTAGCACCGGGGCCAACATATGCACTCTTGGAGAGGGCATCACAACCATATTTGCCTCCCGAAAAACATGTGCAATGAACTATTGATGAGTAGAAAGTCCGGTACGACAATTATCTACAATCATCTATAGCTGCTATGGAGCACGACATTGATTTTGAATGACATCCACAAGCAGGGCTGAATCACTTTCTATCTGTATTGAAAAGCAATTCCTTTGATGAACCAACTGATTCCTTCTTCAAGGGCCAAGAATTCTACATGGTTATTAGAAGCAAAACCAAAATTCTATATAAAAACAACAATGAAACCATTCTTTCTATTCCTGATGACTCCACCACCTCCTGCTAAACCTGAATTTCCCAAAGAAGCACTTTCAATATTGAGTTTATAATTCTGAGCCTCGGGAAATGGCCATACCACCGAAATAAGGGTTTATGAGTTATGTTGACGCCAAATTGTTTGAAGATTACCAATGATGGCTTTTTTCGATAAGTGGAAATACCACTTTTTAACAGCTGCTAATGCCTAAACATGTAAGGTAATATGTTTCATAATGTGCTCTCTCATGGTGGATCTTGACTCAAAGACTTTCCTGTTGCCCTCCTCCCATAGAAACCAAATAGTAGTAAAAGAGATGGAACACCAGATATTACGGAGTCCATGAGATTCTAACCTGAAAAGCAATCACCTCCTAAGTATCTCAGGGGTAGAAATACCCAGGACGAACCATTTTCCACATCTCGATGCTAATGATCTTCATACTCCATGAGCAAAAACACATTGAAATAATAGATGGAAGAGGCTATCATCATGGTTGCCACAAAAGGAACATAGAAAATCCACCTGGATGCCCCGTTGCTGCAATAAAAGTGAAGTGGGTAATCAATTATGTAGTGCCAGCTATGAGAGCCAATTCGCCTGTGTGTGGCATCTAGAAGACCAAAGTGCAAGAAAAATTAGATGTGATAAACCTTGATGCCTAATAAAATTGCATGCCCCTTTAATTGAGAACAAGTCATCAACAGAGTGAATTCTGACCAATGAATCGTTTTTGGGTTGTAGTGGAAGAGTATGGTTGTCCACCTGCCTCCATATATTTCTCAAAGAGGTAGATGTAGAAGGGGGCAAATCCCAAGATTGAGTTGCACCACCAATAAAGTCTGAAAAGTAGCAGCTCCCAAATCCTCCTTAATGTCGCTACCATGCAACTCCGATAGTGATTGACCTGCTAACTATGGATCCACTCAGAAATTCACCATCTGACTATTACCAATACTCCACTATACATTGCCTTTCAAATGCGATAAGTCAAGTAGAATCCCCTTCCAGGCATGAGAACATCATCTTTTTGTTTCAACCTCCACTATAGAAGAATTTCTAAACTATTGATGTTTGAAGAACGGGCCAACAACGATGATAGGTTTTCTAAAATCCTCCAGGCTAACTTCATCATTCTTGCAATATTGAAGTCCACCATTTCCCCTACCCCCGAGATCTCCTTCTACCTGAGTGAGACACACTATCCTCTCTTTGACAAGATGAACACGTTTTTTTTTTTCACTGGCCCATAAGAAGTTCCTCAGTAATCTCTCTATCATATTACATGTTTTCTTCGAAAGAATGAAAAATAGCAGTCAGAAAGCCGCTGATGCAATGAGTACTGACTTAAGCAACTAAAGTCAACCTGCATATGAGAGACGTAAAGGTTGCCGTGACCCAATCTTACTGAACAACTCACCCACTAGACTATGGCAGTAGCTATGCCTCAAATGTCCATGAAATAATGGTAGGCCCAAATAACGGATTGACAGAGATCCTTCAAGGAACTCCAACACTCCCAGGATTCTCCTACGTGCTCCCCGTGGTGCACCAAAGAAGAAAGCCTTGTTTTTAAAGGAATTCAAGATCTGACCAGTAATCCTTTCAAACTTAGAAATGAGTTCTCCCATTACAGTGGTTGAGGAAATGGGTGCCTCACAAAAAATAAGCCCATCATCAACATAAAACAAATGAGAGACTACATAATCACACCCTGAAGGAAACGCCCTAGGAATCATGCTATGCAACATAGCATAATCAAGTTGCCTACTGAAGAAATCCATGATCAACAAGAATAAATATGGAAATAGAGGATCCCCTTGTCTGAAACCTCTTTTTCCTTTAAAATATAACTTAGGTGAACCATTCTTAAAAATAGAAAAGGAAGTAGTGGAAATACACAAGCGCACCCATGAAACAAATGGACCAGTAAAGCCCAAAGCATGCAATCTACCCATAATAAAATTCGAGGAACCCTATCATAGGTACTGCTTAAATCAATTTGCAGATACATTTTAGGTTGAATGAATTCCTATGGCAAAGAGACATAAGTTCATTTGCCATAAGGATGTTATATGTAATAAGCCTACCTTTCAAGAATGCAGCCTGCCTAGGATCAATAATATCAACAAGAACAACTCGTAAACGATTAGAAATTATTTTGCTGATAATTTTATACAAAACATTACACAACCCAATAGGTCTAAAGTCTTTCATCACACTAGGTGCATCCACTTTAGGAATCAAACATAGAAAAGTGGAGTTGATTTGCTCGAGAAGCTTACCTTTAGTGAAGAAATCTTAGGGGTAAAAAAAAGTTCATTCCCATCCAAACTTCTAGAATTCCATTGACAACCCATCCGAACTCGAGGCACTTTCACTTTTCATGTCTTGCGCATCTGCATATCAACACATTAATCACGAGACTCATAAAAATGGTGTCCAAAATATGCTATATGGCCTCAAAAGTGAGACTTAGTGTAAAATATATGAAAAATTGTATATTTTAATTATTTTTACAATGATTTCTTTTGTAAATTCCTGGCTATTATTTTACGAGAAATGACTATAAAAATAAGTACAGCCTCATCTCATAACTCATAAAAAATTGTAATTTAAGCGTTGAAAAACTTTTACATCAATCATCTCGGCTTGAACAATATGGTTGTGAAGAGAAATTAGGATTTCAAGCTCTAAAAATTATATATATTAATAAATTATCTGGACGGTTCATTTCATCCAAAAAAATAGGTGTTCATAGATCTTCAAGACCTGTACATTTTTTGAATTTCAATTTTTATTGTCAATATTGGAAATTGACTTTAGTGCCATCTTGAAGATTTGTTGCTAAAATGCTTTTTAGATGAGGATTTGAGATAAAGGTTTTATTATTTTGTTTTCATAAAACCTAGCTCTATAAAAACCTCCCCTCTCTCTTCCCTTACAACTTGTATGAAAAATCTGTCCCGACAAAATAAATGGAGGCTCTCTCTCCCTCCTTATAGCACGGGCTAATTGGTAGAGTTAATGAATAATCAAACTCCGTCGGGGGAGGAGTGGGTATTTTGAATGTAAACGTTTGAGCGGCTTACCTGGTAATAAACAGCCTCTGTGGCGCTCATTTGCTTCTGGGAGAGAGAGATGGTGATGGAGATGGACGGTCCCCTTGACTTCGAATCAGAAAACCTTGCCTTCAGCTTCAGCATCAAGAAAAAGTATGCTTCCTGTATCTCTCTTTCACTCTTCATCATTTTCTTCTTCTTTCAAACAAGGCTTTATGCTGTTATACCGATCATCTTTTCTTTGAAGTTTGAGCCATTTGGAGATGGTTTAGCAGTCAAGAAACTTGTAATTTGCTTCCATTTTTCTCCCGTCTTATGCCTTAAGTGCTTATTTTTGCCTGCATCTTTTTTTTCCTTCCTTTTATTTATTTATTTATTTCATCTTTTGAACTTCTAGCGATGTTATCTGGCTTCGAGTGAAATCCATAATTTTGAGTTGTGTGATTGATGTTCTTTGCGGTACAAAAAGAAATTGCTGAAACAGCTCGATCGTTGTCGACATTGTCCTGCTAAAAAACATCGACGTATAATGGATTTCACTTACAAATTACAAACTTAGCCTATGGGTACATTGCCACCAATAGATTTATTTTTCGTGCCACTAAATTCCTTCCCAAAAGATGTTACATGCCTTACTTTCTATATCCCAATAGGTTTTTAGTGACATATTGCTTGCATTGCTTTGTCTCTAGGCTAACTCATGCTGGATATGCTTAAAAGAAATGATGAAAAACTCGTCTGGGGCTCAGGAATCATCCCCTGTACGGAGTAATTTGGACTTGCTTGAGTCATGTCCAAGCCAAGGAAGGGCTAATTTTTTTTTTTTTCAAAAGCAATTTTTTTTCAAAGAAAAATTGGTAAAAAGCAAACAGGAAACAACATTCAAACTCTAAAAGAGATGGAAAAATATATAAAAAATGGAACTTGGAAAATACTGATTTATAAATGGAAGCAATTCAAAAAAATCCAAAAAGGGGAAAATAGAAAAATAGAGGATGTGATAAGAAAAATTCACCAGTCATCATAAAAATATCAAAATCATATATAACCATATTTATACATTGATTAGTACAATAAACAATTTTTATATTTTATAATTTTTTTGGTGCTCCTGAGTTTGTACCCAAGACTCGTCTTGGCAAGCTGCTGAGTCCGAATTGAGTAGCATATTAATTTGGTAAATTATTATTTTGCATGTTATGATAATCAATGATTCTCTTTCTTTAGTTTGTTACTATGGCTTATCTAGAGCCTAACATTATGGTAGTCATTTGTTGTCTTTATTTATTAAATAACCTAGGATCAAGATGTGTTTAAAGAGTTCCTGGTTGTTCAATGGTGATGGCTTTTGGGTCACTTGATTTCTCTATTGTTTGAATGGATCTAGGAGATGAGACCTAAAACACTTTTTTATGAGAGTTGGTTGGTGTTATGACAATCATTGATTGTCATTATTTAGTTCGTAAATCTAGATTATCTAGTCTCTAACATTATGGTAGTCATTTGCTGTCTTTGTTTCTTAAATAACCCTCAATCGAGTTGAATTTATAGAGTTTCCTGGTTGTTCAATTGGTATGGCTTTTTGGTCCTTGATTTTTCTGTTGTTTGAAACTTCGAATGGCTCTTTGAGATTCATGTTGACTCTGGATATTTAGATTCTGCAATGAGAATATGATTTTGGGAGAGATTGGGGAGGTGGATTTCAGCGTGTTGGACCCATTCTTGTTTTTCAATGATGATGAATGGGTCGCCAAGAGGATTCTTTCGAGCAACTAGAAGTCTTAGGCAAGATGATCGTTGTCACCTTTTTTTAATGCATGGCACTTATGGTGTCAGTGGATGGCATGAAAGTTGACCAAGAGAAGGCAGGGGCCATTGTTGAATGCCCAACTGCCAAATCCTTCATTGAGGTTCATAGTTTCCATGGATTGGCAACATTTCATCGGTCCTTTTTTCATAATTTAGCACCTTAATTGCCCCTTTTACTAATTGCCCTTAATAGCTTCTAAATCATTAAGAAAAAGATGGCAGAAGCCCCTTTATTGGCAGTACTGGAGTTTTTCAAGATGTTCGAGGTTGAGTGCATTGCCTCACATATGGGGATTTGTGCTGTTCTCAACCAAGAGGGCCGAGCAAGAAGTTAGGCAAGGCAATAGCATCATACCCAACCTATGATATTTTCTTCTATGGGGTTGTGCAAGTACTAAGGTTTTGCAGCAACTGCCTACTCCAACAAGAGTTTGTAATCTATTTTGACCATGAAGCCCTCAATTTTCTTAGTGCACAACGAAAGCTGAGCTGTAGGCATGCGAAACGACTCTCTTATTACATTAGCTCACGTTTGTGCTGAGGCACAAGTTCAGGGAGCCAAAACCAAGTGGCAGATGCACTAAGCCAGAGTGGATCATTGCTTGGTTCAATGGCCTTTGAGGTGATTGTGTTCGAGGTGCTAAAAGATCTTTATGAACATGATTACTCATTTTGGACCTATATTCACCACTTGCAAACTAAGCCTGGGAAAAATGAAAAGTGAACACGTAATCCAAGGTAGGTTTCTTTTCAAAGGCTCCAAGATCTGTATCCCGAGGGCTTTGTGCAAGAAAGCTTGATAAAAGTGCTGCACAAATGAAGGGAATTTTGGATGGGACGAGACATTGTTGATGGCAATGGAGAAGTACTATTGGCCTAGATTCCATCTTGGTGTGCTTCAATTTGTAGAGCAATGCGATGCATGCCAGACAGCCAAAGGATGACACGAAATGCTGCTTGTCCCAATAGTGCCATGGGAAGATGTCAATTAGCTTTTGTCCTCAGTTTGCCATGCAAAAAGATGTATGGATGCTTTCTAGTATTTGTTGACTGATATCCAAGAATGGCCATTTTCTCGTGTGCAGAAATATTGTAGATGCATTTAATATCTGAGGTCTTTATTTCAAGGAAGTTGTGTGGTTGCATTGTGTACCAAAGACTATTACTTCCAATTGCAACATGAAATTCATGAGCCAGTTTTGGAGGTCTTTATGGGGTAAGTTGGGGACACTACTCCAATAATTTTTTTTTTTGATAATTGTTAACATTGTATTACTAAAGAGGGTCCGGGATTACAAAAAGTGTAGGACTGAAAGCACCCTCACAGGCACATGGGCTTATAAGATTCGCCCTACAGTCAAGATTTACAGAGAGAAGAAAGAAAGTTGGGGACCCTACTCCAATATGTTAGGGCCTACAACCCTGCTACTGATGGGCAGATGGAGGTAATGAACTGAAGTCTTGGAAACTTGTTGAGCTACTTGGGGAGTGACAAGCTGAAACAATGGGACATGGTGCTATTTTTTGTGTAATTTGTCTATGACAACTGTCAGCTGAAAGTCACCATTTGAGATCCTATAGTGATGTGCTCCAATTTGTGTAGTGGACCTCAATATGTTGCCTTACATGAAAAGGATGCATGAGGGTGCTGAAGCATTTGGTGATCACATGCATGAGGTGCATTTACAGCTCCACGGAAATATACTTGAGAGTAACAAAGGCTACAAGCCCCTGCTGTTGATCCTCTTCCGCGAGGGGTAAAATTTTCTAAGGGAAAGACTCCAACAGGTACTCATTACAACCTTCAAAGTAATAAAATTTAGCCCCACAATGTGAGGGAAAGCAAGGGGATAATGCCTACCTGGTAGGACTACCAGAGAATGTGGGTATTGTGCCTATTTTCAATGTGGCAGACCTATATAAGTACCACGGAGAAGAACTTGAAGAAGCAGGCAATTCATCGTGTCAGATCCTTTCCGACTGAGGGATAATTGATGATTCAAAAGAAATAACTAGAATAATAGTTGTGTTAATAAAGTAGGTATAAATAACCCACATTCACTTCTACTTTTTGGATAGGGTTTTTGGGTTTGACCTTGTAACGTAGGATAGTTAGTGGGCTGTCTATGGAGACAATTTAGAAAGTTCAATTGTCAAAGTATTAGCTGTTATTTCCTTTATTTACTTCCTGAATTGGTGAGGAGGCTTCGAGTAATTGATGAAGAGAGAGAAAGTTCACTCAGGTGTAGATATAGCTTGGACATAGGTCCAGGAAGAATTTCTCTAGAATTTTCTACCTTGTTATTGTGAGCTTATGAAGCTCTCGCTCCAAGCCATGGAACTTGAATGAAGTTTGAGGTGCGCTTCGATCTTATGTGTTTACTGTCTTGTATTACATTTCTTTCAAGCATGTATGGATCAAGAAATCTTGATTTATGGGCTAGAAATGATGGCTTTTTGGAAGGTCGGAGTGTTCTAGATGGTGAAATCCATATTGACATTACCCAATCAATTATTTGGTGATTGGGTTTCTAATTGGATCTTTGGAGGGGTTCCAACCAATATAATGACCACGTCCTGGATGTTGCCACCCTAGACTTCGAAGAATACATGTAAGGTTGCCATTTGGGCATTAGGTGCTAAAATTGTCAGGATGTAATGAAACTTTATCGCCCAATTTTTCTTTCTACTTATTAATCCCTTTGGTACCCACACAATAGCTTGCTTCCCTTCTTGATGTGGTGCACACCATTTGAGTTGGGTTTTGTTTTGTATGTTAACCCCGTTTGTAACCTAAAAAATGAGTTCTTTGAATCTTTGGACTTGATGAAAGCACATATGAGCCATGGAGAAAGATAAAGGGGACCCTAAGCATGGAGACTTTGAACATAGTAATCGCAGTCGAAAAGTATACCTAGAGAGCTAGGCTTGCATTACAAAGCCCCTAAATGTTTTTGCTTCGTAATCTCTCTCTTAATTTTTGCATTTGCATTTTATGAGGGATTAAGTTTGGAGGTGTGCATGTTACCTTTTTTTTGCTAAAATGTGTTTCAAAACATCTTTTTTTTTAGCTGCTATTTTATATTGCTTTGTGTGGTCTTGTAGGACCACTCGCTCTTTTCCCCTCCTTTTTACTCTTCTTCTCTTATGCATTTATTGCTCACCCCTCTTCCCTCTCCTTTTGTGCCATGTCTATAGCACATGGCACCCCTTCCTCTCCACGTGACTCTCTTGTTCTCTCTCCTCTGGACACCTCTTTAGAGTTCTATTAAAATATCGTATAACTTGTAGTAAATGTCTTTTTGGAAGAGAGAGAAAGAGAGGAGGTACGAATGAGAAGAGGT